TAAACAGGTAAGGCCACAGTGAGATTGGTGGGAAATGGTGTAGTTTTTACGATCCTGATGTCCACATCTTTTAGTCAAATGGTAATTACCCATTAATAGCCTCATACGTATGAATATGTAAATAGCTGTAGAATGCATTATTCATGAATCAGCAGGCATTAGTTATTGTAATTAAGTATCATTTGCTACGTTCATATTACTAACCCTTGCAGTTAATGAATACATTAACTAATCACTGTAGAGCAGATTCAATCAAAATTCTGTGTGTCTGTGCTATGGAAGCCTGAGAGAGTTTTATTGAATTTGGATTCAATATTGAACATATCTTACATGCTTATCAGTGTATTTTTAATGACATTAAACGTGAATCGTAGCCTCCCGTGCATGATGCTTGTCCTTGTGCCCAGGAGGATGGAATGGTACCAGCTGGAAGAGGATATGAAAGCAACAATGGTGCACATAGCAGTAGCTACCTTAAGCAGAACTTTAATTCTGGGACATGAAATCCACCACCACTTTCAAGTTTCATGTATATTCACGTGTACAATAGGAGAGGGTATGCTTTGTGAGGAAGTGCTGTCCCAAAGGTGATGATAATGCTCAAGAAACAATTTCAAAGTACAGACTGAGCTGTTCGCTAGTCGGTGCAGGGACGCGTCTGCCTTTTGCTAGCACAAGCAGAATGCAGCACTAGCAGGATGTGCTCTTAAGCCTAATGGGGCCTCAGGGCACTCTTGAAACACAAAGTAAAATGAACAACCAAACTCTGCATTTTTTTCACTCTCTGGAGATCTATTTCAGATAATAGTAATCCAAGGAACACAGAAAGAAGACTTGCTGCAGGTTTTTTGTGGCTTTTTTTAGGCCATAGTTCTTAGAACCAGGGTTTGTGGTTCTTGAAGTAGAAATTTCGAAGAATTTTTCATTGCAAACAGAAGTTTCCTTATTTTTAGGGAGAATCACTAACTCAAGATATAAAATGTAAGTTCAAGTGCTAAAAGTTAATAGATAAAAGTAAAGTGCTCCTTTGGCTGAACTTCTGTGTGTCAGGCCAGGAAAAATATCTGCAATGAAAGAATAAAACCTGATTTCATCACTGCAAGTTTGAAGCCGATTTTTTCCTATTTTTAGTTTCACCAATATACTTTAGTCACATGCACTGAGTAAACTGAGTATTGGATCTAGTTTCTTAAGAATTAAATGTTCTGGGAGCCAGAGAATTCAAGTAATCAATTAATCTGGCATTTGTTTCTTTATTTTTTAACCTTTTAAACTAGAAATATCAAGTCTGTTCTCCACTGGGCGTGTTGGAAGACCTGTGCGTGGCACAGGTCCAGCCTATGGGCTATGAGAGCTCAACGGAAAGGGATGACCCATCAAAATGTTAACAGAGACCTCGTAACACTCAACAGTTTTGTAAGCATTGACAATACATAAAGAGGAACCAAGTAATAAGAGTCACTTTAAGCCATGTGGATAAAATCCCTTCCTCTCTGAATCGTTGGTCTGGGGGCTTTTTTGTTTAGTTGTGCTCTGTCAGGTACCGAGAGCTACCCAGCAGAGGTAATCACCCTTCAGTATTGCAGCTGAAGTGGTTCAAGCGGCTGGGAAGCACCTGGCCCTGCGCTGTCAGCACTCCTGGAGAAGACATAGGGAAGATACAACCTTAGTTTTTGTGTGGTGTACATGTAAAGTGCAAATGTTCAGAAAACATGGCACACTTAAAGCAAATGAATAGAGTCATTAGCAGAAAATGAGGAGTAGACATAAAGAGACAAAGGCAGAAGGTTTATTTTGTGTATAAAGGTAGGAAAGTTATGTACATGTGCACAATGGAGTTGAAAATACAGAAGTACAAAGAGGAAAGGAGCAGCATTTTTGAAGTCAGGGGATGTTTCATGATGACAAGGCATTAGAGGAAGGAAAGAATTCAATTACAGGTGTGTACTCAGAAAAAGAAAGACTGAACCGATGCTCTGCTAATATATTCTAGATTAATAACTTGCGTAGTCCTGTAAATCCATATAAAACCTGTATTTACTATTGTATGTACACTCTTATATCAAGTTTCTAGTATTGAAGTGAAAGAGTTTTGGAATCTCTATACAGATGTATTCTTTGTTTTTCATATTATGCCTATAGTTATAGTATGTCAGACATACTGTTATTACACATATTGATTTCTAGCTTTCTTCAATATTAATACCAAGATGAAATTTTTGCTTATTGTAGTGTATCCTGTAGTGCATATTCTATAAAGTACGTAACAGCTCAATTTACTTATGTGGGAGCTGAACTAAACCCAGTGAGAAAAAAACTCAAAACTTTATTGTGATTTTCTTAATTTTGATTTTTTTTAAAAAAACTTGGTTTGAACAGCTTTGGTTAGTAGCATCATTTTTTTATGTCAATTTTCAAAAGTTTCTTATTTCTTTGCTTTTAGTTAGCATTCTGAAATGATATGATAGTTTTCATTTCAAGTTATTTGTGTTTAAATTTTTCATTTTTCATTTCAATAATACTGAACCCAGTAACATTTTTAGCTACAATTAAATGAAAACTACAGTTTGGAATAAATTTTCCAACATAATACATTGTTTATGATTTTAAATTTCTCCATATGAAGGAAAATTGACATTTTAACTCAAAACAAGGTGAATGTTTTCATTTTGTTTTATCTTACTTTGATATTTTAAACCAAAATGCAGACACTTCACACAGAAATATTGATTTCATTAAAAAAAAAATCTTTTCCTCTGATATTGTAAGTTTGATCGCATTACTTTATCTGGAGTAAAAAACCAATTTTCCAAAACTGTATTTTCATTGGGAAAAAAAAATGCAGTTTGGTTTTGATTCATTGTCTTTGCCTGTGTTATATAATTCACGATATTACATGTGATTCCCAGTAAGTAAGATAACTAAACCCTACATGTGATACACAGTTTTGTTTCTGACGCTGCTACAGTAATTTCATCCCCAGTGCTGGAACATGCATTCCTATCTTGAGTTTATTGTTTGCTTACAAAGAGGAAAGGAACTTTTAGCTGAACGATTTTTTTCTTTTTAATAAGAGATTTACAAGAAAATTACCCCAATCACTTTTCTGGTATGATAAAGACAGCAATGAAATTATCCTCGTGTAATACAATTATTATAAGTAAATATATTGTGCTTAAGTTTTCATACTAAGGCAGGTGCTTGAGACAGGAACGTGTGACATATCACAGGGATGAATCATGGTATTTTCCATACACGTGCAAAAAGTGTGTTTGGGTTTTTTTTCCCCTTGAAAATAGGAGTAGACTTTTTAATAACACTAGTGTCGCTGCAATTATGCACTGAATGGTATTCAGAAAAATCACAGACTTGGGGACATTTCCCACCTATGAAAGGTGGGAAATAAAAAATAGGGGCTTGATTCCCAGGCAGTGACTTCCACTATATCCTGCTGTGGCAAAATGGGAACCTTAACATCTCACTTCTACACATTTTAAGGTGTCTTAATGCAATTGTAGAGTTAAAGGTGGGATTTGCTCTTCATGAACACTCCAAGTCCAATCCACAGCAAGTTGGGTAGGACTGAAGAAACAAGGTCACGTTTGAAGTGGGGAAATTGTAATATCAGTGGGCTCAAGGACTCCTGCAAAAGATCAGCTGTTCTCTCTGGAGTCATAAAACTTCATTGTATAAAGTTAGTTAGTCTTTCCCATAATTCTGCAACATGCCATATCACTTAATAAAAAACCACCACCTTATACACACTTACTCTTTTGAATCATCTCTCAAGGACGCTATTTAAATGACTAAGAGGAGTATAGAATCTGTACAAATATAATATGATCACGAATGCCCAAATAAATGTTTGCACCTTCATAAATGGTTTTTGCCTTAAAGAATTGTTCAGAAAAACAAAAATTCACTTTTCACTACTGTTTTGTATTTAACAATGTACTTCAGTTGTGTCTACATTCTCAAAGGCAACTACACAGATATTTTGCTATTACACTTTTTGCTAAGCCTCTTGGTATTCATAGTTTTTAGGCCCCTTATTTTCATTCTTTAAAGAATCCATGGACAACCAATCAACTGCTTGCTGCCTTGATTGCTTTCCAAGAAGGAAAAAAAAACAATGTATTTTTGTCTGATGACATTGATTTACTTAAAGTTGTAGAAATCTTTGAATAAACAACAAATCTATGATGTACTTACTGGGCCTTTCTTGAAAGATTGATGAAGATTAAGACGGCTGTATTTTATCTCAGTATAAGATATTGGAGATGTACAGGCTACTGGAGCAGAAGTTCAGGATTAGTGATATCAGTGCAGGATTGCCACTAATTCAAATGAATGTGAGAGTGTGCTCAGTATGTTGCAATTGCTAATCCAAACCATTATCTAATTATCCAAAAATATCATACATGATTTCACAGGCGTGAGACCAACCTGCCAAAGAAACAGCAATGAACATAGTATGTGATGGAAAGATAGTGACCATCTATAAGATTTAATGGTAAAATTAGCCATATTGAAGGCAGTGGATCTTTGCCACTCATTGCAGTAGGGTTTGAATGCCACCATCAGCATATCTTACAGTTCTCGTTAATACGTATTGCCTGTTGGTGTGGCCCACTGTTGCCCACTGGCAGTGTGTATATGCTGAAATGCTCCGGTGGAGGTGGGATGAAACACTTTTTAAGATCTGCTAGCATTTGTCCTAAAATTAAAAATTAAAGCAGATCCAAAGCGATTAATAGAAAATCATTCAAATAAATATAAAACTATTTTTAAAACTCTGATGTTCGTATTGCTTTGCTAAGCTGTTTGGTCAAGGCATCTTCTGCTGCATTAAAATACAAAACTTTAAAGACTGCTTAATAGTCTTCCTGTTCACCCCACTCGACTGCTGGATCATCATCCATTCGTAGAATGAGATAGGAGAGAAGCTGAAAGAGATTCTGCCACAACAGTAAAGAGACAAAAAAGGAGAGGTCGCTTACATCTATCTCACAACGGTCGCCGGCATAGTTCACGTCGCAGAGGCAGTGGAACTTGTTGAGTAGGTTCTGGCAGAGGCCCCCATTCAGACACGGGTCGGAGCTGCACTCATCAATGTCCTTTTCACACCTAGAGGACAGAGTGCAAATAGTGAGCATCTGAAATCACAAATGAAATGCACCGAACAGCCACATTGCTAATTCAGAAGCCTTTGGGGGAAGGGAGAGGAGGATGCTCTATTTGAAAGCTGTGGTATATTTCCACACGTGTTTATGATTTTATTAACTACCTGATTAGCTACACTCAAATCCTGCACTTCCTGTATTATTTTCAAACACAGATAGTTAAGCCGGAAATTTTATCTCTGTAAAGCATTTCATAGTTAATGGTGCTTACCAATGTAAAGTGAAAGATTGTGTATGATTTTAGAGCTAGATCTGGCGCAAGTCCTGCCGACAGCTTGCTTATCCATTTTCATTGTTACGGGGAGCTGAGGGCACATTTTCCTCCTCAGTAGTCTGGATGTAAGTCAAACAAATGCGTGGGTTTCCCAGCTGAGTGCCCCTGGGAATGTTCACCTGCTTTTTTTTCCTCAATTTGAAATACCAGTAGATGCTCAGCAGAAATCTCCTATATGGTGTCTCTGAGGACATGGGCGCCGAGAATGGTAAGAATGGTGCAGAAGAGGGCTTTACAAGCTTAAATATGTATCATTAAATGTTTTTTAGTTCATACTGATGATAAAGGACATTTGAGTTCTCATAATTTCTCAAGGCAACCAATTGAACATTAATGAAGGATGTGTGAGGTTGTCTGAAAACTACTAATGATTTGGTGATTTGCTGCTCTGACAAAACTTCCTCTTAATTCCCTGCAGCCTTTTTCTCAAATAATGCTAATAGTAAATCCTAATTTTTCCAGATAAAAAAGCAGATTTATTCTTGAAGAAGAATGTGAGAAACTCCCTGTGCATTGTAAGGAATTGCTTTGTTCTATCATATTCATAACCATGCAATAAATTTTTAGTGTTACTTAGAGAAGAGCTGTTCTTTATATTAAACACTTCTAGCTGATTTTCTTTATTAATCTATAAAAAAGTTTCAACAGTTTCCTTCAATGGTAAATTATATTCATATACTTCAAAAAGCTAAATTAAAGTATTAACCCAATGTGTAAAAACTGTGTATGAACTTACCTATGCAAATAAAAAAACCCCAACCAAATCTTCCAGGGAATTAGGCACTTGAATCCAACTGAATTTCAGGAAAACTTAAAACCCTAACTCCTTTAGGTAATTTCAAAAATTGCAGCCTGAACTCAGTGATAAATTTATGCTCAAGAGACAGCTAAGTCTCCTTTTATGAAGAGTTATCTTTTCACATTTCCCTGTCCACCTATTGAGTTCATTCTTTTTTTTTTTTTGTGATCCCAAGTCAATTGATTTATATAGAAAGATACTATTTTCTCTATACTGTGCATCAATGGCTTTCTGAGGGATGAAATATTGTCTTAAAGGAAAATGTCTGCTTTATCAATCTAATAGGTAAATATACAAAGGGTTTGGGTTTAAATTTTCTTATTTAACTGATATATTTGAATTTGTTCCGAAAAAAAGAAGCGGTGAAATTTTCTCGTTTGGTATACTAAGATCTGCAAGCATGGAAGTACTACTGGTTTATGGTTTGGCAGCCTGGAGAAAAAGAGGACAAATAGTCAATTTTAGACATTGGAGAAGAATGCCTTGCTGTGATAGTCAGTTAAAGCGCAGTACGCTTGGTACAAGGCTGCCGTTCGATACAAGAATCATGGGAACCATAAAATAGAGATTATTGCCAGCCAGTGGGATGGATGTAAGGAGGGCTCATTCCCAAAGCTGTAGTTAGCAAGTTGCCTGGCAGGGGAAGGAAGAAGGAAAAAGTACTTTCCTTCTATCTTGAAGTATCAAGAAATACACACACCAAAGAACTGCCTGAGAATATGCTTTTACTTTTTTGTATTTTATTTGATCTGATTTTTTCACCTTTTTTTGAATATCGTGAGGTGGTACACGGACCTCCTGGCTGAGTTAAACAATACAATGCAGATATGTCTGCCAACTACACTGTGCATTGAGTGGGTGGAAATTTTCATTTAATCTATCTTTTATATCTTACTGTACTGTTTCCACAAAATCAGTGGGCTAGTAAGTTTTTGAGAGAATGAAAACCTTTTGTTGAAAACTCCTTATGCAGAGCCAGCATCGCTTGGTTCTGTTGAACTTCTGGATACCATACTCTGATGTAATGCTAATTTCACTAAGAGCACGTACGGTATTTCTTTTCTCACTATCCCAAAAGGTGCCCTTACCTATTCAGACTATATTATGACTGGGACAATGTCTTCCTACGTTTCTACAGCACCTAATGCCCTGAGGCTGTCAGGACTCCCTGCTCCAGAGCCGTTTGTAGAAAACTGTCAAATGGTAAGTGTGAATTGCAACAATATGCCACAAGATACAAATTTCACTGTGAGGAAGGCCCCTCTGTTTCAGACTAAACTATAACATGTAAAAAGTATTTCTTAACTTCTTTTTAAAATTATAATTCTGTTTTCATACTTCAGCATTCAGTAAGAAAGTAACAACCCGCAATACCACCAGGTATTTAATCTCATACCATCCCCGTGGAAGAATAGATTGTATATTCACAACACATACGTGTGAAAATGAAACAGCTTTGCAGATTCATGTGTCAGTGTATTGTAGCTGATTTTTATATATGAGCAAGATATGTGTGTTTATGTGTCCCCACCTACAGAAAGATAACATTCTAGCTTGTCATATATAAAATTGGCATGGAATCCCAAAAACGTACAAGTGTACAATGCTGCCTAAGAAAGAGTATCTTGCACTGGAGTTAATGGTGCTATGTTGGATTGAACCTTGCTGCATTAATTTGTGATTTTTCTCTAAGTAAAACTGCTGTACCTTCAGACCCCTGTACACAAGCACGAAACTGCTGAACTTAAACAGCTGCTTTGTCTGTATTTCTGTAGGAGGGCAAAACCCCTGTGACCGTTACCCTCTGGACCCTTCTGGAACAGCTTTTGGAAGAATTGCTCCACAAAGATCTGCTGGGCAAAGCATCTCACCGTTCCCCAGCAAATCCCGGCAGGCACACGCATGTCAACTCGCCACTGAGATCGGTGCAGTTGCCATAGTTGAAACATGTGAGGTTCCTCTCTTCATTCCCACAAATCGTATATGGTAATCTTCTGTATCTAGATAAATAAGAAGGCAATGGCAGTTATTTGCACTTTCCTTATTTCTAGATGTCTCATGCCCTCTCAGCTTTTCATTTGACTCTAGTCCACTGCTTTAGTGGAAAATATTTAGATCTACCTTGCAAATTTGTTATTTGAATGCAGAATCTAGTACTGTTAGTCTCCAAATGGAGGAAGCAGTGCTCCTGCTGGCAAATACTATTCAATACCAATGGGAAAGGCATTACATTTTACCTGTAAATGAACACACAGTTTCAGGGGCTGCACATACTTAGTGCCTCTTTGGAAAGGAAACCCCACATCTGTGTGCGTTGACACGCCTGGTGCCTGGGGTACTCGGGGTGCTCACGGTTAGTGGTAGGCAGCAGCTGAACCTGGGGAGCAATGCTGTTACTGGCTGGGGTATTGTCCAAAGGAAAGACAGCAGGAACTGAGGTTTAAGACTCACAAAACATGTTTTGCTTAACTTTTTTTAATTTGCTGAATTGGGTTTTCCTTTTCAAGTATTTACTGGCAAGTTAATGGTTCATTTCTTAGCTAAAAAAAAAAGGGACAACATTCTACCTACATTACTGACGTAGCTCTACATGATACCTGGACAGCTTAGTAGAATAGTTCAAAAGAGAGACTTAGCATACAAGATAGACCATATTGGGCCAATATAAGGCATCTTCAAATCTCAGGATGTCCTTACTACTCAAAAAAAGTCAACAAAAATTGTCAATTGTGTAATTATAGCCTAGAAGACTGTGGTTGGGCAGCATGAAGACGATTGTCTGTTTGCATCCTTCGGGCTGCAGCAGACTGGGTTTGCTGGAGTCCTCTGGAGGAAGGAGAAGGATTTTGCCTTCTCTGAGAGCAACGGGACGTGCTCAGAAGGGGGAAGTTTATGCTGTGCAGAGAAGGGCAATTAGAGGAGAGAGAGGCAGGGAAGAGCCTGCAGCCTTTACAGAGGAGTGTCTGAGAAGAATAGGAAACAGGCATGTGAGGAGTCTCAGAAGTGACGGAAAGAGAAAAAGCCACCAGGACTGCTGGGCTCAGAGAGCAAGCTTGGAGGAAAAGACCCACCTAGCAAAGACGCTGTGGGTGGGGAGAAAAACTTCTTTACAAGCCCTTCTATTGTTATTTTCTCTTACCCACCAACTCTGAATTTCTCTACTTACACTTCTACAGCTCTATTACTCTAATAAAGTATAGTTTTAGAGATTCAAGAGCCTTAAAATCTTTTTTTTCTAAAAAAGATGTAACACATCTATCTCCGAGCTTTGGTGGACTTGTAATCCTGTCATCAGAGAGCTTGTAGGACCCAGGCTGGCAGCAGAGCTGGGCAGCAGAGCTGTGCCTTGTTCCCTGTCTCCTTGCCTCACCAGTCTCTGCCTGACCTGCCAGCTCTCCACTGCCTCGGTCCACATCTAATTGATCTGTACAGCTTTCTGTACTGCACACTCTTTACAGATTAATTCTGCAGCCATGATTCATATATAGATAGATGCATAACATCTGTGTTTCAAATGGAGACATCAGTGATGTAATAACCCTTCAGAATAGACCTGACAAAATCATATGGATCTGTCTTATAGTACCTGCAAAATTTTCCGGTGAAGTTACCAGCACACACGCAAGAATATCCGTTAATCCCATCGACGCAAGTGGCCCCATTTGCACACTGGTGGCCACGGCAGTTGTCTATGTCCTCTTCACAATTTACCCCTGTGTAACCAGGTTCACAACTGCACTCATAAGAGGTGATCCCGTCAGTGCAGTTTCCATGAATGCAGGGGTTTGAAGAGCATTCATCAATGTTGACTTCGCAACGGGTGCCAGTCCATCCTTTGGGACATACGCAGTGGTAGGAAGTATAGAAGTCTTCACATATCCCCTCATGCATACAGGGATCTGAGCTGCAGACATCTACCTGCAAACAGCCAGTAAGAGCAGGGTTTGCGGATATTTTGAGAAATTGCTCCTCTTGAGGTTTTTTAGTAGGGATGTCAGCATCTTCGAAGTACGAGAGATAAATGCCACTGATTTCTATGGTGCTCATACACCCTCGCAGGCCATCCAGACTGTCAAAAGCCTTGTCAGCCACATAGATGTCTGTCTCTTCTCTTAAAAAGTTGAGGCTTCCTGCGGCAGTTGTGCTAGTGGCAGTGTCTTTCTTGTAATCTATATCAATGTGCCATCTAGAGAACTGGGAGAGGGGCTCTACCATAGAGACCATCACTTGATGCCATTTCCCATCACTCACAGGTAGTGAACTACCAAGGGTCAGCTTATAAAAGCTGTTGCCGCTTTGCAATTGAAAGAGTAATTTGGAGTTGTGAATACTGATGGTAACAAACTCTGGCTCCTTCTCCGCGTACAGCAGTATCACGTCAGTGTCCCTGGTTCGAAAGCCAAATACGATATTGGTGAGGGCTCTGCTGATTTTTCCATTGCTTCTGTAAAATATCGCACTGCTTCGGCCATTAAACACTGCGTTAGCAAGACCTGTGCAAAGATAATAATTGAGAAACCAGGCCAACTTTAAACCAATACCTGTGGAACAATATCTCTTCAGTGCCCCATGCTCCCTGTCATGTAAGTCCTGGGTTTGCTGAAAAACAATCAAATTCCACCAGCGTTTCAGTTATCCTTGCCTGCCCCTTATGGCTATAGAAACTACAGGGCAGTGCTAGCACCAGCTATATTGACATCAAAAGTGTGCTGCTTTGCATCATCTCAAGTTATCGTTCTAAAGATACAATTCTACGTTAGTGTTATCTCTTTCTGCTCTTTAGACAAAGACAAAGAGGTGATCATAACTGTATACAATTCAAACCTGAGGCTGAGAGGGTATTTCAAAAGAAGATATATATTTGTCATTTTATGTTTGTTCCCTAAGTATGGGCAGCTAGTTATTCCCCATGACAGAGCTGGAGGGGGTGACCATTTGTTCTCAATTCCTCTTTTCTTAGGTAAAGCACTGAAGAGTTTTTCAAAACTATTTGACTGGATCTGAATTTACTCATACTGATGCAAAAAGGGTGAATTTAATTGAAGTCAGTTGGCAAAAAGCCCCTTCAGAATCAACGTAAGAAGGGTCGTGCCTGTCACGTTTAAAGCCAGCTTCTCCTGCTGTGTCCGCGCTGCCACAGCCCTACTGACGGCACCGAGCCTGTGCTGGTGGGACTGGGAGGGCAGCAGAGTACTCAGTTCGCACTGCTGTGACTGAAAATAGATGGGCAACATTGTGGCAGTTTTATGGACATCTTCACAAAGGTATTTGACGTCTTTCATTAGCACGGTTTCTTCTGAAATGCACTAACTCGCTGGGCTGTAAATTCGCACGTTCTAAGATTTATGAGGATTATAGACAAGGAGGAGGGACAGGAAGGAATGTCTTCTGTCTGTACTTCAGACAAATTTGGCTTTGCTAAGGTGGGTTCCTGAACTTTCTCTGGGCTCAGTAAATCTTGATGAAAAGAACTCCTGGGAGTCCCAGTATGAAATTATTGACTGTAATCCTGATACTAAGGCAGAGGTGTAACTACATTGCCTGGCGCATCAAATGTGGTGTCTTTCTCATAGGAAAGGTTTCCTCAGAGGAAACCGTACTGAAAATGAAGCTTTTCCAAGTTATTTCTAATTTTTTAAATGTCTCACAAAGCTGAGTTTTTTAAGCTCATAAAGCTAAAATACTCCTGTAGAACTCTTATTAAAGTCCTGAGCGCAGCAAGCTGTCTGAACGTGCTTCTACTCTCAGTTGTGACACGGGGCATACAGTTTGGCTGTTACTTGATGTTCCCCACATCAGCCTCCCATACAGGCTTTTTCTGTTTTTTTGGCATGCATGTTTTCCTAAAGGGCTTGCTAATTGTAGCCATCTAGGTGGAACTATAGCCATAGCCCCCTTTTCTGCCACAGCTCTTTTTCTGCCTTAGCTTAAAATGGTACCCAGAGCATAAGACACCAGGCTGGCAGAGAACTCACTGGCCAGTAAAACCCCTGTTTTTAAATTACCGTGTGTTGAACAACAAGAAGACTATGCCATAGCTAACAAAAAAACTAGTTAAAAATACAGCTCTGTAGTGCAGGAATTTTTGAATATCTATTAGGGAAACTCCCTACCATTGCCACATAAAGCAGCACAGAAATCTAAAGGTGATCTAACAGTGTAAATGACCTTGAGTTTAGCAAAAGGAAACAGTTCAGATACTTTTCATTTCTCTGTCTGTGTGTGTTTATATTCTACCATAATATGCAACAGTAAAGTTTATGAGAGAACGTATTTTGATGTTATCATTAAAGGTGTCTATTAGAGAAGGTGCAATTATTTTAATTCCAGTTATAAATTTTAACGAGTGCTGGAATGCTGATTCTAACAATCTCAACAAAAATAGCATCATATTAATCTGTCAGCAAATTGTCTATGATAGAAATCTTTTGTTGACCAACCTTCTCACTCCTAAGAGTTAGCCATTCTAACAGCTTCCATCAGACTGTGTGTGTATTTATCTTCATTCACAGCATCGTTAAGGCTTTCTTTGATAGCAAAAAGAGAAAATATTTCTTCAAAATCCTTACTTGCTTCTTAAATTCCACTCCAGGGTGGGAAGGAGAAGGAAAGTGGGGAAGGAAAGAGATACGCAGCGTGGCTAATGTTCTTAAGACAGCTAATGGTCATCAATTTTCAAATAGACTGCTTGGCATGCAGGTGCTTCTTATGAAGATACTAGTTGAGTAACTGTACTGCTGGTATTAGGGTGACTTTCTTCAAAGGTATTTAAAATTTAAGAAAATCAAATGATGCAATGTTTGTCATGTAGCTTGTCTTTTCAGGAGGATGGAGAACATCCTAAGGTTAATCCAACACTGGATGTCCTCTTACTTCTTTACAGTGGAAGTATGAGGGGTACACACTGGCAATGTGCTGATCTATTCTACAACCTCGACAAGTTGTGTTGTGCTGATCTATTCTACAACTTTGACAAGCTGTGTTGATTAAGTCAAAAGCAAAGGTCCTGTAAACATCGGTGTCTGTGTCAGGGGGTCTGGTTGAAAATTTCTGGGTTTGGTAGGGCAGACTCTTCCCATTAATGTTACCTACAATTTACATAATTATTATTTTAATACAGAAATAACATTTGAATGAACTTTAAGGACAGTAAATATTGTGTTTTAATGAAATGCTGATGAAAATTTCTATTGTTTCTACTCTCCAAAGATGATAGGAATAACTGAAATGTACCTACATTCAAATCCTTGGTGCACCAGCTGGCATTGTGCTTCATGAGGACAGGGCCCAAGCTCACACCACTTAACTTCCTCGCATGCCTTCCCTGCTGTGTTAGGGGGGCACGTGCAAGTGAAGTCATCCCAGATTGAATAGCACACACCACCGTTGTGGCAAGGGTTGGACTATGAGGAAGGAGAAGAGACAACCTAAGTATGAATAAAAGCTGGTGGACTCCCAACTCTAAGGATGGGGGACTGTTTGGCAAAAAGGAGAATTCTGTTTATTTCAGTTGGAAACTGATAAAGACCAGTACTATGACAGCACAGCAGGTTCAATAATTGGTGAAAAATAGTATTTCAGCCTTAAAATATTTTAATTCTTCCCTATGCAAAACCATTTTGTTTGCTGCTGCTATTCATCATATGTAGCATAACTCAACAAAACCTGCTCTTTCTAGCATTTTTACATATTTTCCTAAGATGTCTTTATCATCAAATAATGTATGGGAACATATGAAACATTAAAAGAAATTCCCCATTATAAACATGTGAAAATGCTCTGAAAAACGTCATTCTTACCTTGCAGAGGTTGTCACCAGTGCAGCCTTGGGTGACATTGATCAGAGTTCGGTTGATAAGAGAAGTCAGTGGATTGGTGATGGGGAAGAATTCCAGCGGCTGGTTATTCACTCTCACATCTTGGATGCAGCCTTTGAAATATCTGCCATTTCTATCAGTTTCTTTATTATCTGGTAGGCCTCCAATGTAAAGAATATGCTTACTTTGGATGGTTAGTACTGGAGTAGAAATAAAGCCTAGGTATTGCGAGGACTGGAACAATTCCATCTTATTTGGTTCTATTTTTAATGTTATTAAGTAAAAGTTTCCATCGTTCATGGAGTGTTTCCCTAATAACTTAATGGAATTTAGAGCTAACATTGTGAGTTTCCCACCTTCCAAGTAGACTCTTACGTAGAGGTAAGTACTGTTTCTCAAAGCCAGTAACAAGCCAGAATATTTGCGTGTTCGGACAAACATTGATATGTTCAAATTTTCATTCTGAGTGGCATCAACAGAAAAAGCAGCATAGCCTGAGGAGTCCTCAGATCCAAACCGGCCTGGAATGTACTCTTGGGGTTAGAGATATGGGGAAAGATAAAAAAAAAAGAGAAGAAAATAGAAGAAGGGAGAAAAATAAAATAGTTAGGGCTAAATGACAAGGGAGCCGATGCAATGATCAAATAGCTACTTCTGGTAATATTTACGTATGGTAGTAAGATGTGCTGGTATTTATGGATGAATAAAGCCTTGATCCAGCTGCAAATAGCTTCTATTTCAAAATTCCTGTTGGCTTCCATGGCTGTAGCATTAAGCCCCAGTACAGGACCAGATGTTATATTATTGGGCATATTTTTCCCCTTTATCATGCTCTATGTAATGCTGTGTTTTCAAATGGTTAAACAAGGACAGATTTCTACAGTTTCCTGGATTTGTCCTCAGAAAGATCATTTTGAAAAGAACCTAGCTGCTTTGATCCTCTGATGACCATGGAAGTTAATGTAATTCTGGAACTTTGTGATTTTTTTTTGCACTGATTCCAATCGTAGAAATAGCTGAAAGCTGCTTAGCAAACCCCTCTTGCGTAAAACCTCCAAATAGGGCACTTATTTGGTGCTGCATGGGTTCCCCAGTTCTCCGACAGACTTTCTGTTGCTGGGGCTCAACACGTGCTCATACACATCAACTTGTATCCAGTTATGAATCCTCCTCAGTCTTGTGAGTGCCCATAATGCTATGGTCTCGTGGGGGAAAAATGATACAGGATCGAATAAGCCTTTTTCTTTTTTTTTTGTGCTTATCAATTAAAATGATTAAACCAAAACCATCTGTCTCTCTCCCCTACTCTTTATTTTCAGTAATGATTTTCAGACTTGTAAGGATACAAAATATGTAGCCCAAACCGTATTTTATTCTGATGAATCATCTCATTAAAGCACAACAAAGTGTTTCTATTTTTACACTTAAAGTTTCGTGATCTTGTCCTCAATATTATAGACTTCCTGCCTAAACACTTTCAAGAGCTATTTTTAATATATCAAATTCATAGAAAGAATAAACCAAGCTTTTTTTAAATGCTCACATAGCTAAAGAGTCAGTCCTCTTTTGTGCAGTAAAACTCCTAGGGCGAGACCTCATAGGCCAAGTTTCTGCCTGCAGCACTACTTTTTTTTTATGACTACATTAAAAACCCAATGAAAATAGGGGACTGACTGTGAAGCCAACAGACCCTTAATAACCACACTGCACTACTATGTGGCACAGTAATATTATTTAGCAAGAGGAATACATCCCTTACTTGTTCCTAAGCGGACAATTTCGTAAATAAATTAAATTTGAAATATTTTAATTCTATGAATAAGATTACCCATATATCTACATCTGCTTGTTAGAACTCTGGTATGTAGAAATAAATATTTGTTGAAACAGGTGTTTTGAGACGTTAAATCTCTTTAAGTTATATCTTATCTGTAAGGTCGTACTAGAGAGTGAGACATTTTTTCATGAGGGTAAAAAGAAAATTTCTGCTGGAATGAGGATTACACATTCGCAGTATTAGAAGGAAGCATTAATCTTGAAAAAGGTATTTCATGTTTACAATTACTTTGTTACATTTCTCTCTATTTATAAATATACTTATATATATCATCAATCTGATCTTCTGTTTGATGAGATGGCTAGCATCACCTTGGTCAATATTAACCTCTTGGGTCACAACATCTGGATGTTGATCAAAATGAGTCAACATCTGTTTGTTATTTTGTATATGTAGAGAAAATATTGCCTCTTGTCAATTAAATACTTGGCAGCAACTTTTCTTCAAAAAGACACTAGCATTTCTTACGTTATCCTTTACCGCAAGTCTCCCCCACTCTGCCTTTTAAGAAACCTGCCACAGTCTTTTAAATATGGCATATATCTAGAACCTATGTATCAAAATGGCATGGTGCCATGATTTGCAAGGAATATTGTGGTCAACAACGCATGCTTTCTAATCATTCTCAACAGTTCTAATGCCAGTATAAGCCTCTCCCGGCCCTGACTGGTTTTAATTTTGCTTCATATAAGGAGGCAAACATATTTACCAGATGTTGTCTTATACTCTAAAGTTGCTTTCCAAATCTTTGGATAAATTACAGCTAGACTTCAAAGAAGTCTGTTACAATTACCTCTCAGACTTTGTCATTTTGCAATAAAAGCAAAAAGAAAAACTATTGAAAAGTATTGATAACTATTAAGTATAGCATACAAAATGAAATTGTATTTAAACATTTTGAAATGTATTTCAAACTACAGCTTTCTGCAGCAATGCATTCAATAAACCCCTGGGGCCAGCCGTTCAGCTGATGTAAATCAATGTAGCTTCACTGGCGGCACTGCAGCCATGCCAGTTTATACCAGTTTAGGATCTGTCCATTCCAATCTGACCATTGCTCTGCTGTTGCACTTCATTTTTTCCAGTCCACTTGGCAAATATATATGCATAAATATATGTATGTATGTATATGTGTATGTATGTATGTATTTCTTCCTCCCTAAACATTGCTATGATTGACCACGTGTGGATGGTTAGTAAGGGGGCAGAGAGGAAAGCAGGGGCAAGGGCGCTGCGTGGAAGACTCAGTCCTGTACAATTCTCTTAAACAAAACTGCTTGTTTGAAATCCCTAAAACTTTTGCTGAGGAAGGATTGCAGAGCCCACCCCAAAATGCTCCTGAGGGGTGCTGTATTTACAGCTCCAGAGGCTTTCACACACCAGAGGCAGTACAGCAGGGGGCTGGGCAGGGACCTCCGGTTGTCCTTCCACCTTGCCCCAGCCTGCGCTTGGAAAGAGCATTTGTAGCAGGGAAAGTGCCACGGGCATCTGCGGCTTTTCTATTCCTGCTCGTCACTGCCAAAGAGGCTGTGCTCTTTTGTTCACTGGGACATGGACGTTTCCCTCTGGTCACCAAGCGGCTCTCTGGTAACGAACGCCTTCGTTAGCGATTGTCCAGAGCTGCCTTGGGACCAGCTGAGAGATGAATGGGCCCTGTTTCCAGCCTCTGAAGCCCTGCCTTCTCCTTGGGCTAATCAGATTAAGTTAATAGTATAATCTCATTCATTTTATAAAATTGGAATCTGTCTTTCTTTAACTTGCAGTACTTTTGCTTGCCTTTCATTGCCTTAAATGAGTTTCTTTATAAAAGCCTAGAGAGTTTGAGGATAAAATTTTCAAAGAATGCTTTGAAAGGAAGACTTAAACTCCAAGTGACTTGGTTGCTTTCTAAATCTTACTCAGGGTGCATAACCTCCAGTGAACTACAGTTTTCCAGAGTTTATGGCGTGCTAAGAGCAGTAAGAAGATTTTAAAACTGGATGAGTGCAATCCACCAGTTTAGCCTGACTTTTTTTGTCAGGCTGAAAAGCAGCCTTCCTGGGAAAGTAACCAGAACATAACGAAGGCGTGCTACTACTAACCTCTTGCACTTTCTTACCAGCTTACTTAAGCTCCAGAGATCCTAAGGGTCATGCTGTTTCATCACCAGGTAAACAGGATTGTTCACGATCACGTTTTCAGCAACCACTTAAAACACGAATGCCAACAGCATTCCCTTACCTGTTGCGCAGCGTGGCCCCATGTACGGCCGGTAGCAATCGCAGTGGTAGCTCAGCCACAGGTTGGTACAGCGTCCCCTGTTCTGACAAGGCTGGGTTTCACACCAGTCCTTTTTAGTACATCCTGTCCTGACATTTAAAGATGATTCAGGTGACACATTCTCAGGAGTTATAACATTCAAGTCTATTTCAATGTCCTGAAGACAGCCTACAAATGAAGGTGCAGAATGTATATTATAGATGTTAAGCAGAGGGTTACCCACTGGTAAGCCGCCCAAAAACGTGCTCTGAAATGCAAGCATCACGTGATCGTTATCTATCATAGCAGACGTTTTATTGAGACACGATTCTACACAAGAGCTGTCAAGCAAATGAAGAGTAACAGCTCTTGCCAAGGTTACCTCCACTGAATGCCATTCTCCATCACTGACATTACGTGAAATATGCAAAAGAGCCTGTGGCTGGTTATTGACTTGCACGGATAAGTGTAAGTAGCCATTCAGTAACTCCAGCTTTGCAAATGTATTTTTCTCCCCTCGGTAAAACAGAAAAGCTGTAGGTTGCACAGTTTGAAACCTCAGGTTTATATTATAGAAAAAATCCTTTTTAGGGGTCAGGGGATTCTTCAACAAAAGGAAACTGTTTCCTTGAAAAGAAAACGTGGTTATGGTTTCACAGTGTATTCCAGTATACCCAGGTGAACATATGCAGCTGAATCCGTGTTGGCCATTTTTTAAATGTGGGATACATATTCCATTGTTTTGGCATTGCTGATCAGTACAGCCATGAAGAACTTCTGTACAGTTCCAGCCACCGTAATAAATCCCTTCTTTGTCTGCAGATGGGCAATGGCAAGTGTAATTCCCAGGAAAATTCTCACAGATTCCACCATTTTGGCAAGGGTTCCTGTAACATTCGTTGATGTCTTCATCACAGTGAGTACCTGAAGAACAAACAAAAAATTAGACACGCTGGATTGGATAAATGGAGCCCAAAATGACATTTTTAATAACGTGTTTTATCAAATTATCTTTAATTAGAGGGGAATGTCTTGATAAATAGATGATTGACTCACAAGTCTAAAATATGTTCAATATAAAAATACCATTCACATGCCATGGTTTTCTTGTGCAAAATATTATATAAACACCTTAGCGATAATAACATTTTGGAGAAAAGAACCAAACAAATTTTCAGCTTTGAGATGTATAATGTCATGAAACTGAGATAAACATCACCTCCAAAAGATGCGATCACCTATTCTGTGGCAGAAATCTAGAATGCTTTGAGAGGAACTGAATTATTTATCACATATAAAAAGCCAAGAATTGTTGCTTAATTCGTGTTCATAATACAGTACGTTGATGAGCTGGAGTACAGTCTGTTGGCCTTTCCTTCTCTTTCACATTCATTCAAACAGGAGAAGAATTACAGACTAGTATACCTGGTCCCATATGAAACATCTTCAAGTGAGAGCCACAGGACTTGTAAGTACTATATGATACAGTGGGACAGACTGACAAGTAGGTGAACATCCCTGCAAAATGTATGTACAGCGAGCTGACCATCTGAAGAATGAAATTCACAGAGGGAGCTGCACAGCGTGACAATAAGAAATCCAACAAAGAGCTTAAACCTACATCCTATCGGCGGTCTGGGCAAGATGCAGTGAGATGCACCCCGTCCACAATGAGTGGGCAGTTGCCACGTTTCAGGGTTAAGTGCGTACTGCAGTTATTCACAAATGAACAACAGATCTCAATTCTTCCAAAAACAAGGCAGCAGTGACTTCTGGTCCATCAGCCATGGTCTCATACTGTGAGGAGAGTTCACCTGGGACATGAGGATCTGAGAGAAGCTGTTGAAGGGGTTTGAACCTGTATGTCCCAGCAGAATATTCCTGGTACCGTGTATCTACAGTGGAACTTTCTTTACCTCTCCTATATACAAAATATAAAGCAAGAAAAGATGGAAGGAATATTTTCTCAAACTTCGCAGAGCTTGATGATGAGAGCACTTGTAGAAGATGGGCAATACAGACTCATATTTCCTCTTCTTCTCTATAATGCTTGGCTGCTGGTGTATTGGGTAAAAGGAGAGCTTCTCATCTCAGCTTCACTGTAATTTGATAGATGTGACCCAAGTTTGTCTACTGGATCAGACTTCTCAAAGAAAACTAAATCTGTTCCTCTTGTAAAACTAATCTGTTTATCCCTCTGCACTGTTGTTCATCTATAAAGTAGTAATTATAGTAACTTCTCCCTTGAGCAATCAAGTGACTGATATGTATGCAATGGATCAGGGAAAATCTGTTTCTTATCTCCCTTGGAAGCAGGCAAAATATCCAAATACTTTTTTGAAAACTCATGCTAAGTGCAACTCCTAATATTTCTGCTTCCCTTCATAGTTATTCTAGAGAAAAATACGAAATACTTTGCAGTTGGTTTTCAAACTAGTATCGTCAGCACAAAGTAGTTACTAGACATAATTATGCCTGTCCCCACAGCAAAAAACCTGGTGCCTGTAAATTAGATAATGAGGTATGCTGAGACTCAGAGTTGCAGCTAGGTACCAGGCACCACACCTAGCTTTACATACAATTTCTCATCAAGCTTTACTTTTACAACAAAACGCATCCATTTTTCATGGAAAATTGTAGAACGGCATTCAGCCACAATGAATTGTTTCAAATAGCAGTAGATAAATGTAGTTACTCAGGCTAATTCCTCGCCTGTCTGTTTTATTCAATCACAGTTGTAACTAGACCTGTCTCAGAGAGCAGTAAGTTACAGGAGAGCCAGAAGGGAACTAAGAATTGGTTGAGATTGGTTTGAAAGATTAGCCAGAGTGAAGTGGTCATAGCATGTATCTAAAAGACTCTCTGCAGTGATTCTTCTCACTCATCAGTCTTCAATTATAGCACATAGTTTCCATTTGAAGCTTCAGATTATCAAGCACAGCTAGTGCTATCTCCCTGGTCTGGGAGTGAGTTTTTACAGCAGCAGTCTCACTGTTTTCTAGCCAGGCTCGTATTTATTCCAACATGAGATGTCTATGTATACCTTAATGTGTAGTGGCATCTGGCAGAAATACGACTCATTGGGACTGACTTTCTCAAAGTGAAGTGCATTTCCCAAACCGTTACTGACTGGGGGCCAGAACGATGCCTGCTTTGCTCAGTTTGTGGCAATTTCTGTGTTAGCGACTTGTCCTGCTTTTGCTATTCTAGTATATGAAAAGTGAAGTTACCGTGAGCTGTTTCCTGTTTTGGTCAATGTTTTAGTACATCTCCTGCCTGATATTGCTCCCTTCCCTGCTGTGACATTGAGAGCAATGTGTCCACAGGTCTTGTACACAACTCAGTCTTAATGTGATGGCTGTAGAAATGCAGGTCTCCTTGGGTTTTTGTGTCAGAGATCAAAATTAGTGCAGCCTAGAAGCAGCAGGATCAGGGATGTACTTAGCCTTGTCATAGGGCTTCAGAGTGGTCAGGGCGTGCTTAAGGATTTATAGACTGGGAGCCCCTATAAAACCTTTCATAGAAAAAATCAGCGTAGTGAATGGCTAGATGCTTAGTTGTTGCATTTTCAGTAATGCGTGATGACTCTGTGTATATTAGTTTATTATCCCACGGCACCTGCGAGGCATCACCTTTGCCTTGTAGCTTGTGGTCTGAGTCACACCTTGCAATAGTGACTTGTCTCTGGAAAGGATGAAACAGATACATAAACTGAACCCAACTTTTCAACAATGTTTAGTGTCTGTGTTGTTCTCTACTTCACCAAATTAGACATAAAATTAATGAAATGATTTAATGAGAATGCTAAACTTCTTTGGAAATCATATACGTTTCTACCTTTAAATTTAGGTAACACATTTGATAACAAAAGCATCAATGTCTAACAAAGAAATAAAATGAGTTTTATGAGGAGGTACGCATATTACTGTTAGTGTATTCCTTGCCTACAGAAAATGAACAACATCAGTTACTAAATGCAAAGTGACTACCATACAGCCTCTTCATTTCATAAGCATTTCAGTGTCTGAATACAATGCTTATTTTTTAAGTAATGATGTTAATAATATGTTGCAAAATAATTATTTTGCAGGGTTGTGTGTGTGTATATACATATACACACGTATACACTTACATCTATATGCCTACTATTTCATAATAAGATTAGCACGAACATAAATATAGGTCACACCAAAAGACAAATAATAAGCCATTTTTTCATATCAAGAATAAATAAATCAGCTGTTCTTACAAGCGGTGTTGATATTGCTTGTTATCTGCCAATTGCTATACAAGCCAAGACCACTGTCAGTCAAGATAAAAGCACTCTAGATAAAAGGATTAGTCAATATTTATAGAACTGTGTAAGAAGTTCAAATAGCTCAGGTTGGAGGAGAAGTTTAGCATGTAAAAAAAAGTATTCTCAGAAGATGTAAGACGTACCAAAAGCAAGTGCAAGGGGAACTATTATTTTCTTTTCAGTGGTTACATGCATTAGCTCAGCTAAACATATTTGTGTTTTTAAAGTAAAAAGTAAATAAAATCATTCAGCATTTTCTCTTCTAAATATATTACACACCTACCTAAAATTTCAGATAATGTGAATATTTTAATCATATTTTTATAGATAATGATTGCTTTTTCCTCCTGTGAAGTTTTATTCAAAACAGAGATGAAACAGCTCCTTTGACTCAGTTTGATAACACCACTCATATCTGTCTCCTTTTTTCACTTACACATTTTTACTATAGGGTAGCTATTTTCTGTTAACCTCTTGATTAAACTATCAGTTTCAAATTTAGCAGCAAAGGTTTCCTACAGAAGCAGGATGACGAAAACAATTATTCAAGCATAATTCTGCTGAACACCACTAATTTTCATTTTGATTAAACAATTATAAAAGTATTGTCCAAGTTACACTTTTGATACACACCTTTGGTTAGAAATCTGTTTACAGCCTTCTGCCTTTCCAGTTCCTTGACACTACATAAATACCAAGCAAGTAGAAACAAGCAGTCTGGATAGATACTACACATTCAATACAGTCTAAGTGAACATACACTTTCACAAAAAGAAAATATTTACCTGTAAACATTGTCATTAAAATGATGTAAACCTGTATCCTAGTGGCAACCATCTTTTTCCGAAGGAAAAAGATCATTTAGCACTTAAGCAGTCCACACAGTAAGTTTCTGTAAAATTCAAACCAGTTCTTAGTATAAAGGCTTCCTTCCCAGGATTAGCTTGCTCCACTTCTGTACCTGCTGATGTAGTCTGATGGTGTATTTTGCCCAAGCCAGATCAACAAGGCTTAAAGTAAGACTCATTAAACTGCTTACACAATAGATATGTATTCTACTTAAATTCTTTTTCAGCATGTTCTGTCCAATGTGCTCACACTAAACCTTGATTATGTTTCATAGAAAGGCATATTTTTAGGATCTGTTCAAAATTGATTTGTCACTTTTTGTTGTGTTACAAGGTGTTTTAAGACTGTATTTTCTTTCATTTTCAAGAGGTTTGTTAACCCAGATCAACTCTTTCACAGTCACTGTCATTCAGAGAAACTGTACATCTCAATAAGCAGATAGAAAAAGACATAAAATTGTATCTCGTTTCTTTATTTTATAAAGTATTTTTGTTCCATTGGCTCTCATTGTACTACTTACTGGCAATTTATGTCTGTAGATTTTTGAGTGTGCTAAAGACGGTAAAAAATTTTCTAAACTAAAACATTTTCTTTCTTCAGCTCTTGAACACGACATTCTGATTTGGACCTAATTTAATGAGAGGAAAATAGAATTCAGGAGATTGAACTACTTATTTCTGTGATAATTTAAGCAGCAGACTTTTTTTTTTCCCTTTTCATTATACTTTATTTACATGATGAATTGCTTAAAATATTGCTAGAGCAATATCTCTCTATCTAATTAGTGAAATAATTATAAAGCAAGAGAGTCTTTTCCCAGGTTGGTATTTATACCATCCAACTGGCATACAGCAAAGTGTGGATTCAGATCTTTGTTTTGGCAGTTTCCCATATTGAAACTTCAACAATGGATCCTGAAGTCTCTCTCAGCCTGTCCCCAAGAAAAAGTTGATTTTTGGCAAACATATTTTTCAATTCCCTCTTCTCCCTCAACTGATTTATTCATTAATTAGGAAATTCCTGACCCTGTGTCAAATTTGTTTCTAGTTTCACCAAAATACTCATACGCCGGATACAATTTTGAATTAATTTAATCTACAGTTCACAATTGCTTTTATGGTGATGCTCAGAAAACTGCTTCTCCTTCCAGCCTCTGATACAGGCATTGAGTGATTTTTCCTATAATAAATTCAAATACCATGGGGTAAGAATGTCATCCAGACTCTTTGAAAGGTAAGTAAGTAAGCTCTAAACAAAGTAATGTTCGTGTTGGTAAGTTAGTACGCACGCATGTACTTTATTAGTAGTGCTTATCAGACATCTTATGCTACAGCTTGAAGTTTAATATGCATTTTTATTTTGAAAATAACAAGAAAAAGTTGGAGGTTCTTGGTAATTGTCAGTCCTTTTGCAATATGACCCTGATAAATGTTCTGAGGTAAGATTATGAACATACACACTGTCAACAAGTTGGGATAGGCATACACTATTACAGCGCAGTGAAAACCCGGAGCTGATGACACTCCGAGGCAGAGGAACTTCATACCAGGACATTTAACAAACCACCTGACGCCATGTCAGAACCGCTAGTGGGTGTTTTGAACAAACCCGTCAAGAACAAGTGGATTACAGAAGGTGGTAGTTACTCTAATTACAGTAAGGGTTTGATATTTTCTTTAGTAACATTTTCATATACAAACCAAGGAGAAAAATCTACATGAAACCACCATAAAGTGGGTATAAAACTTGTGTAATCCTGCCCAGAAAGTTAATTGTCAGAGGTTCCCTGTCAAACTGGGAGGCTCTATTGAATATGGTTTGCAATTGTCGTGGGTTTGCTCTTGTCGGTGTTTTCATAAAAGATGTGGATGATGGTATAGAAAGTTTGCTTATGAAGTTGTCTGATAAAGCAGGGTTAAGTGAAACTGTTGAGTGTGTTAAAGACAAAATTACCTTTATAGGTGAACATAAGGAATTGGAGAAATGACCTGAAAAATACTGGATTCAATTCTGGAAGGACTCATTCAGTTTCTATAGCCTGAATAGGCCAGAATAACCAGCAATCAGGTGGAACAATAGTTCCAGTTTACAAAGCCTTGCTCATGCCTTAGTGGGAATACTGAGTCCACTTCTAGTTCTGCACGGCAAGGAAGATTTAGATCAACTGGGAAGAATTCAGAGGAGAGCAATGAGAATAATCACAGGTCTAGAAAATATGGCTTGTGAGGAGAGACTAAAAGAGTAGGGCTGTTCAGTCAAAAGACAAGCAGAGGAAATGGGACCCGGTAACATTCTTTCAGAACAAAGAAGAGAGCACATTGTTCCCTGAGACCATAGTAAACAAGTGAAGAAGTCATGCGTTGGACCTGCATCAAGGAAGATCCAAGTCACACTTCAGGAAAACCATTCTAATGATGGTAAGGCAACAAAGCCTTGGCATAAGATATCCACTGGGAGCCACAAGGTCTATTTTGGATCCTTAAAAATAGGTTAGAGACAAAAGTGCAGTGTAGCATACCCTTTAGAATATTCTTTATGGAAGACGAAGACAAAGAGTTTGCAATAACCCTTCCTCCACCTACATTTTACAGTTTTGGAAATGTCTGTCACAAGATCCTACCTCAGGCAGAAACAACTTTTTTCAAGGGAGTCATTAATCCTGAGGCCAGCGGAAAGATCTGGCAGAGCATATATTCTTCATGGCTCCAGGTTTTAGCAGACAATCATGAACATTCTAACTTTGCCACATCTGTGCTGATAATTGCAAAGAGATAATTACTCTTTGCTGGAAGGAGGAAATGCACGTTCATGAGTGAGTAAGCGCAAGGAAATAAATTGACTATCTCTATGTCATCGTAATTAAAACTCATGCTTCTGGGCATAAATCAGTTGTCATGGAGGTCAGGAAGGAGGTTTCACTCTTACGTACAACAGTGCAAAGCAAGCGAGGGGTATTCAAATGGATCTTTTTCTCCTATTTTTCTTCAGTAAAGAACCAGCTTATATTGGATATTGAACTTAATGTGACCAGTGATCTGATGTAGTATGGCAATTTTTGTTGCTGTCTTAGCAGGAAAAGCTCATGTAAAATGAAGGACAGAATACAGGGCAGAGCTGGAGCACATGGAAAATTGGATACTTTAAAATAGCAGGATAATAAGCATTTGCTAACATTGGGCTAATTTGCACATGATACCTTTCACACAGAACTCTAATTTTGTAAAGTCATAAGACCTTGCTAGTTATTCCTTTATTGCAGACAAATTCACTATTCTGCTGTTTTTCCTCTTGCCATTTGAAATGTACGTATAAAGTTAATACTGGCTAGGAAAAAAAATTAAAATAGAGTGACTTGGCTTAATCATTAAATATGTCACTCTAGCTGAGGGATATGGAATTCATAACGTGCTACATTCAGAATGGCATGCTGTAACTCAATCTTTCTAAATGTTGCTGGCCTGAAGCTTCATAGACTAGTTTGAATTTTCAGTAAAAATGGATTTTTTTAAAGTAGTAAAACCCCCCAATCCCTTAATCTCTTCAATCATTAAACGTTTTCTGAGAGCAAAAGTACTTGGAAATGTTTTTCCACTTGTTTCACATGTTTTGTCACACCTAAAATAGTTTTCATTTGAAAAAAAAAAAAACCAGAAAATCATGTACATGCTGTAGGTGATTAGTTGTTTAGTGAGATCTGGTGTGTTTATTTTATTTTATAAATATTGGAAACAGCCGACTGAGTTAAGCATTGGCTTCAGCTTCCGGGTAGATCAGCCAGCCTTTTTCATGAGCCTGCTCTGCAGACCGTGAGTGCTCCTTAGGCAACGTTGCGTGAGCGGCGCAGCCAGAGGTCAGACACACAGAGCCTGTGAATGGCAAGGGGCCATGTCCTAGAAGGGCAGCACGGCAAAACTGTTGCTTGTAGCCTACACCTTCCTCCCATATTTCGATTAACACAGCCAGCCATGTGGATCCAATTGTAGGATTAGGGTCTGAATCTGGAGTAAAGAAAAACTTGGTGAAGAAATATGTCCCTGCATGGCACTCATTTTCCTTTCATTTCCCTACTTCTAGAGTCAGCTTTATATATAGGTAAAAGAGGCAGCTGCTGGTGCGTTTGACTGATGGAGGTAAGAAAGAAAATCAAACGGTGGCAGCCCAGGTTTCCCAGGCAGCACCCCTCTTGAGTGGGTTTTCTGGCTGCACTAAGGTGTATGTAGCTACGGCCACGTTGTTGATATGAGCTAGGAAGAGCTGATGAGAGGAGGGAGAGCACAATTACAGGGTGTGACAGGTTAAAGTGGAGAAAGGTGATTTATGACGGATGCCATTACGGAAGAAGAGAAAATAGCAGCTAAGATTTTGAAGACTGAACAGATGAAAAAGTAGAGAAAAATATGAACGGGAACTCAGTATAAATGAAAAGAAAATACAGGAATCAGTGGTGCCCCGGAAGATACTTGAGTTGGCATTTGAGACAGCGTTCTTGTTGGACACAGAGGTATTTATGGGCAGTAAGAGGAGCAAGTGTGTATGTATATGACCATTAACCTATATAGGAAATGTGAGGGATGCTTAGAAAGACTGCAGATCAGAGATAAGGTCTACACAGACGTCTGAGCTAAAATTGAGAGTGGAGAAAGGAGACCACAGGAGCAATGCCAAAAACAAAAAACTGAAAAAAATTTAGAAAAAAAAAGTCATAGATTTTTTTGTAATAAAATAGTCACGTGCAATGGAGCAGAGAAGTCAATTCACAAAAAGATAGAATCATAGAAAAATTTAGACTGAAAGGGACCTTCGAAAGTTATCTGGTCCAATGCACCACTCAAAGGGTCAGGACATCATCCAGAAAAGAAACTGGAATAGTGGGTTTCAGAGAATTTGGTTAGTTTATACCTGATTATGGACCAGGTATTTGGAAGCCAAAGAAAGATATTTGGTGTTTTGCTTCCAGTATGTTTTTTGTGTTTTCTTTAAGTTGTAAAAAGAGTATATATAATTCAGGAATTTTTCATGTTTTACCTTTTAGAAAACTGTGGTAAGACTGTCAAATTCAAAGCATTAATGATCTGATTTGCATTTTTGTAGATTTATGAGCTTGTACATACAGATGATGTGTGTGCA